TGCTAGCCTCCACCTGTTGTCTTTCCATTTCTTACCCATATTGCCCACACAGAAATGATAATGGTCATCATTATCCATAACGAATCTCCTCTGGAAGAGAGTAATAAGCTCAAAATTAGACACAATGTGGACATAATTATAACATGGGCCTGTTACAAAAGTTACGAACCATTCTTACCTGAATAGTGTTTAGCCAAACATCTTCCTTGTATATGTCTGGTACATGAGGCCACCTGTCATAACTAATAGGAAATATATTTGGGTTGCATGCAAGGTGACCCAAAAAACCAAGCAATAGGGCAGCAGCCTCCCCAACAGGCTGATTGTCCTCATTCCATTCCACTACTACTTTCTTATGAGGAGGAAGTACCAATACATCCCGCACACGTAGTCTTTCCTCATCAGCCACTCCATTATCAGCTAGTAAAAAGTTGTTAATGCAAGAAGAAGATAAAAAAAATTGTAAGAATTAAATATAGTTGTATATAAGATTAATAGCCGTTTAAAATATTGGTTTACGACTCAGTTACCTAGCACATTAACAACCCAGTATTTGTTGCATGTCCTTTGGGAAGGGTTTCGTGGTGGTCTTCGATCGGATGGCTGAGATTGAGCAGAGACTGGTTCAGAGGCGGCAGGTGCTGGTGTAGGTTGAGCAGATGATGGTGGAGGTTCAGTATTTGCAGTTGCAGCTCGTGCAGATCCTGATTGAGCAGATGGTGGTAGGGATTGAGCAGAAGGTACTTGTTGTTGGTGGATCACCAATTCATGTGGCTGAGTACTCAATTGTTGAGTGGGTACTACCGAGTTTTGGTTTTGTTGTTGCACATTGGTTGTCCCTTCATTAGCAGAGGAGGTTGTGGGATGCACCCTTCTAGTGAACCTCTTTGTACGTGCCATTGTCCTGCTTGGATAAAAATAATTGCAAGCACACATAATAGTGGTACAAAACAGAGAAATCTCAAATGTCTATTTGGGATATAATTAACGAAATCAGGCAAACCAACATGTACACACTTAATGTAATATAATATTAAAACCAGCATTATACAATTTGACAGTATCCTGATGCATGTACATATTCATATAGTTCAAATCCTCTATTAGCAGCTTGTACTCATACATTTCAGATAAACTAGTTTGACCAGCGAGTAGACATATACCTGAATAGTGTACATAAAACCATAATTACACATTTGTATAACAAGTTAAAACAGTACAGACATTTACCAAAAAAAAACAGTAAAGATAGTGGATGTACAGATGTATTCAGTTTAAATTTACCAGTGTAAACCAGCATGTACTCAATCAATTTGGATAAACTAGTATAACCAAAAAGTACACATAGACCTCCATAGTTCCAATGAAAGCAACATAAAACACCACTTTATGGACAAGTTTAACCAGTAAATCCAGCATGTACAGACCTATACACATTAAATAAAAATTATATAGTGATGTGATCAAAAACCACCACTAACCCAGAAGCATTGCACAAAATACAAAATAAGAACCATGTGAAGAACATGTAACTGTAATGAACCAAACTATATCATATCCCCATTTCTTCATTACATATCTCAACACCCATAAAAATAGAAAAATATAGAAAACGAAATAAGCCACAAAACTTAATTATATAACTCAGAATGAGGAAAATGACAAAATGAGGAAAACAAAAAACAAGATTTTGGTAAGAAAAATTATATTTTTTACAACATGCAGAAAAATAGACGGGAAAATAGAAAGGCCAAACAATCTTCAAACCGTTTACACATGCAGCAAAATAGATAAGAGGGATAATACAAACCTGTCCACCTGAAGAGCCGAAGAACTTTCCAAGTGCGCAAAAATCAGATTTAGTTACAACCCTTCAAACACTACAACAAAAGCATTACATTAAAAGGAAATAATGTAAGACTGCCAATGGGGGTTATGGCAAAGGGGGATGGAGACAGATAAAATAAGGTAGCTATGTTGCCATCGCTGACCTTCGCTTGTGAATGAAAATGGAAAAGACTAACACGCTGATCCTATGGACCTGAAGAAATGAAGATCTTTCCACATGCAGAACAAGAAAGTCGAAGCTTGCAAAAACTACAATAATAGCAATAAATAAAAAAAGAATCAAAGGAAAAATGTCAATGGGGTTTAAATCAAATGAGGAAGGAGATAGAGAAAATAAGGTACATATGATTTATTTCTCAGACCTTCGTCTATCAATGGGGGTTAGGGCAAACGAGATAAAGATAACACCTTGGGGAGAGAAAAAGATAAAGCTTTGAGGGATCAGATTTGGCTGAGTGTTAAGACAAAAAGTCTGATGTGACTTTTTGACGCACAGTGTGACTTTCGAAAAACTAAGAGGGAATAGTTTTCACAAGGGAGGGAAAACTATCCGTCTCTGTTTACCTAAATCGCTTCAGATTTTTGGGCGGTTCAAATCTAACCGCCTCTTTTTACACGAATTCAACGACGGCCTCCCATATCCGACGTCAGACCCGCCTGGTATTGCAAATGTTTGAAGGCGGTGAAGCTCAAACGCCAGAATTCCGCCTCAGAATTCTATTTAAACAAAGGCGGTCCTAATTAAACGCCACTGAATCAGACGGGTTATGACCCCAAACATCGTCGGCCTTCTTATCCGCCCTTATATCCGCCTAAAATGCTTCTTCACAGGCGGTTTGCTGGTAACCGCTTGTATACGACCGACGGGATTTGCCACTTTTCTTGTAGTGTGTCAAGTTCATTTAAAAGATTTATTATATGAAAGCAGTTGTTAAATAATTTGCTTACATTTTACAAATAAATTTGTTTATTTTAAAGCTAATAAATAAAACTATGTTCATAACTAATATTATTTAAAGTGCATCAAGCATGAGGCGTTTTACAGAACCAACAGGCTTTATTTCTGTAAACCTCATTATGATATTCTCGTTTGTTGGTAACCTCCACGTGATAATTGGATTAAACTTAATACGGATGAGGCAACTAGAGGTACCAGTGCAGCTGAACATTGGCTTAAAAGCTTCTCTTACATAATTGGTATATGTAATGCAATTAGTCCAGAGTTATGGCGCATCCTTAAAGGGGTTGGAGCTAGCTTGGGATGAAAGTTGGAGAAGGTTAATAGTTGAAAGTGATTTTACAACAGCAATTGCTTTGCTCACTAATAATGGTTGAGCAGTTCATGAGTTTCATCTGATGTCTCGTATATGGACATAATTTACTAAAGATTGGAGAGTTCAACTGGTGTATACATACAGAGAAAGCAATTTTTGTACAGACTAGCTTGCTAACTTCTCCCTTGTGAATGTTGATAGTGATGATTTGTGTATTTTTAATTCCGCACCCTTGAAATTGGTCATTTGTTTGACGTTGATTTAGCGTATGTTTATAGAACTCGTCGTATTTTTGTTTATTAGTTTGTGTTGTTTGTTTTTATACAAAATCTTACAAAAAAAAAAGCGTGTATTCGTTATTTAAGCATAGTAAAAATGTATTGTGTACATAATACTGTACACAAATTACATTAATTGATTAGAATTGATAAGATTATCATAAACAAAAAAATTAAAATTAATATTAGAGAAACAACTTAATATAGAAGTTAATTTTACAAAGAAACAAATGAAATTAATAGCATCTCGTGACATGGGATCCTGTAGTTAAAAATGTTCTTTTAACCAACAAAGCTCGGCACAATTAGTAAATAGTTGTGTTCTTTAAGTATACTGGCAGAGATTCGATTCCTAACCATGTGTATAGAAAAAATTTTGTTAGAAGAGTCTATACTCACGATCACGTGATCTCTCCGCCTTGAGGGGATTAGTCCTCGACTTTCGGCAGAGGAATATCCTTGAAATAATTTCAAAAAAAAAAAGTTCTTTTATATATGCATTAATGTTAGATTAAATAGATAAATTAGAGGAGCCCTGTGGTGTGGTAAGCACAAAGCGAACTATTCTTTCGCCTTTTATTAAAAATAAATAAATTAGATTTGACGGCATGTGTAAAATAATAAAGCAGGTAATAAAGCACAAAGCGAACTATTCTTTCCCTCATGCACTAGAAAACAAGCTCTCATTCTACTAAGATTTTGAAAAACTTGAAAAGATTTAAGCATTGTAATGTAGTCCAAAATCACCAACAACCATAAAGCAGGTAAAATAGGACCCAGTGCAAATATGTAAAGTAAATAGGAAACCTACTAAACAGTTAACAACCAAGCTAAAACCAAGTATATATGCATCTTACCTAAAACACTGGTTTATATGCTCCTCTAACTCCATTGGTCTGAGTTCGATTACTTGGAAATGCAATTATGTTAAAATATAATAGAGAGAATTTTGTTGCCTATATGATCATATTCTACTCGGATCGGACTAGTGGAAAAATTGATGAATCAATGAATAATATCTAAAAAATTAATATTAATAGTATTTCTTGAAAGCACAATTTGCTTATAATTAGCTCAACTCCTTAGGGTATAATCTATATCTTTATTAGTTTATCTAAAGTACTAACTTATGCTCCTCTAACTCATATTTAATTAAAATAACTAGGGGGGTTATAGTTACTACTGAAAATTTTTACAATTCTTATTAGTAAACTAATCATCGTTGATTTTCGTTAATCTAATTGTTATAATTTATTGTGAATTGACAATTAATTAATAACTATATCCAATAAATTATAACTGTTAAATTGACAGAAATCAACGATAATTAATTTAATAATAAAAATTATAAAACTTTTTAATAGTAAATATAATTTCTTCGAAAGAACTAATATCAATAGCATTTTTTTTAGAGCGAAAGAATGAAATTAGAAACTGATCCATGGTTAATAACTGGGCCTCCATGTCATTTCAGAAGCCCATTCCGTGAAGTTGGATATTAAACCCATTGATAACCCGGAGCTAAAGATCCAGCCCAATTTAGTATTATTCAGGAATAGATTTAACCCAAATGGAGATTACGCTAGAATTACATCCAAACAACTCAAATACAAAACCCTAGTGTTAGTGAGCAACTATATATTTCACTCGCCGCCTCCACCACGAGCTAGGGTTTGATCTCAGCACCTGCAATTCCTCTAATCACCGAATCCAGCAACAATGGTTGCCGCCAAGAAAACCGTACGATCTCTCTCTTTCTCTACACTGAGCATTGTTGTTTGTTCATTGGCTCCTTTTACCAATTGGTTTCAATTCAGATTCAGGGTTTTCGATACCAACTTGATTCTAATTGTTTTGCTTATATGTATGTAAATACAGAAGAAGACCCATGAGAGCATTAACAACAGGCTCGCTCTTGTGATGAAGAGTGGCAAATATACCCTCGGTTATAAAACCGTTCTCAAATCCCTGAGGAACTCCAAAGGTAATGTTTTTCTATATTGTTAATGAAACTACTAAGATTGTTTTGATTTTTTCAAAGCTAGGAATGGGTTTCTGGGTTTAATATCAAATTGTTTAGGTGCTGCTGATGTAGAATTATTGTTGAGGAATTCCCTTTTTGTTATCGAGATTGAAACCCTGCTCTATTCACCATCTTGAAAGAGAATTCTGTTTGTTTTACAGTGATTTGATCTCTGAATGTATAATGGTAGAAAGTAATTTGTGAATATTCTTCAATTGTTTGCAGGAAAATTGATTATCATTGCCAACAACTGTCCGCCTTTGAGGAAGTCAGAAATTGAATACTATGCCATGTTGGCAAAGGTTGGAGTTCATCATTATAATGGGAGTAAGTTCTTAATCTAATGCCTTTGTTCTCCTGTTTTGTTTTTTTTAGATGCTGATGTGCATTAGATGATAGGCGAAACGAAATCTTCCATTTCTGATTCATTTGATAGTTTGACCTGCTGCGCTGGACTATTCTGATCTTTTTGTGTTGAAATGTTGGCCTACAAACCTCAAATGATTTGGGTTGATGTAATCTTATTGGATTTAACTTGGGATATTGTGTCTAAGAACCATCCTTTATGCTGTTGAGTTTTTTCTTTAATTGCATATGCATTTCTATGATTATTTGATCTTTTGCTTTATTCATCCTTATTGATTCGAACCAATATATTGCTAGATATCAAAGCAATTTTACTTTAGGTCCATACTCCTAGTAAACTGTTGACTATTATTATATTTGTTAGTCGCTTAGAATGAAATATTATGCTTGAATATGTCGTAGGATTGAATGTCCTGAATCAGACCATGTACAGTAGTTTCAATGTTAATTGGTTTTCTTTGTGAATAAGCTTATATGATCTGCACCTAGTGATTGAATTATCTAGTTGTATATTGCTTATCACCTTAAAGGTTCGGCAGTTACATCTGGATGTGTTTTTAAAAGCATGTGAGTTTTCCAAATGTTTGTTTGTATTGGTATTTTGATGACTATGCACATGTATTGGACAATTGGCTGCTTATCTTATTATGCACTTGCTAATGTTTTTCTTGTATAAGTTATGTCACATGCTCTTGTATCATAAATTTTTTGTTGTCAATTGTCGAATACTGTGATGCCTTGAGGAATTTGTCAATTTAGACATTTTAAATGTACCGGATATTCTGATTTATTAAAATCTGGAACATTTTTCTTGTTTGTCATAGACAATGTGGATTTGGGAACTGCATGCGGCAAATATTACAGAGTGTGCTGCCTCAGCATTGTTGACCCCGGTATCTGATTCCTTTCCCAGAGCTATTTCAATATTAGAAACTATTTTTATATATTTCTTTTGTACTAATTTCGTTCCTTATTTGTTGTTTTCAGGTGATTCGGATATCATTAAGACACTACCTAGCGAGCAGTAAAGTAGTGTTAAGTCTTTTGCTTGGTATTTTCTGTTCCGTTGATTCAGACATTGTTAAAGCAAATTGTAATTTAGATTTAGACTATCTATCTGGTGTACGATGCATGGTTTTTGGGTCTTCTAGCTGATTGAGCATCGAGTAATTTTTGACAATGATTTTTTGTTTTGCATGTTCTGTGCCCCAATTTCTATTGATGTAGTAATTCTAGTTTAATCTTGCTGTTGTTGCCCTCTGTGTTATCAATACTCACTGCAACTGCATGTAGACGTTGAATTTGCCTGAAAACCCCACGAATATCGTAGCAATTGAAGGCAGCGAAAACAATTTTTCAAGTAATACCTGCCGGAAGGAATTAAGAGTAATTTCACAGATATTGTTTTAGTAATTGGCCATACAAGTAGGCTTGCTATAGTAATAATAATGAGGAGGCAGGGAAACGCAATAGGTATTATGACTTTGCGAATTGCGATGAGAATATGAATGAATGAATAAATAAAGTGGCATGTGGGATGTGTGGACGAAAATAGAGATGATGACAACCTCATGCAACTCTTGAGTATATGACTATATATTATTTTCCTCCGCACTACCCAAATAGGTGGTCCCTACTAATGGGTAATAAGTAATATAATATGCTAAGGATTTAAAACATTCTTATTTTTATTTTTTTAGTAACCATCTATGATTTTGAACTGAATTCTTATCTGTGTTTAGCTGCACTTGATGAATCTTTTTGGTAAGTTGGTTCAGTGGCTGGTGAATCTGTAGAGGTAAAGTTTGACAATTTTAGAGATAATCAAATCTTGTAAATAGTTCCGCCTCAGTCTTTTTGTCAATTAAAATTGAATTTCGTAAAATATAAATAATGATAATATAGCTTATTTGCATACTAATTAACTTTAAACTAAACATAATTTTTTTTTTGAAAAATAAAATTACATCAAATTTATTATAGATGTTAGAGATATATAAAATTATTAATGTAGTATCACTCAACAGTTTAAGCTTTTGAGTTAAATAGTTATTTACATGTTATCAAAACCTCGATATCTTTAATTATTAAATAATTAAGTATTGTGGAGTTTGTTAGCACAGATAGGTGAATCTGTGTATTATCTACTATTCAAGTTCAGTGGGCTTTCGTGTGAGGGAACATGTTAAAGAATAGTATAAACTATTAAAGAAGTATTCAACTTAATCTTTTTTTTTTTTTTTTTTTTCAACTTAATCTTTTAAGTTGAATTGGTTCTTTATATACTATCAGAGTTAGGTTTTGATCCAGTTGAATTGGTTCTTTACAATTCAACTGCAACAATCAAATTCCTAAAAATAAAGAAACAGTTACACTCAAATTTCATCTCATCCAATTTTTTTGGCAAAATTTACATCCAAATTTGCGGCTTATTATCCATCTGCGTTCAAAAAATAAATTAACAAAAGAGATTAGGTCAAACTTCATTAAAAAAAATTACAAATGCACTAGGTCTATTATCACATATGCTATGGTGTTGTCACATGTTAGCACATCAGAAAATACGCCATCATTCTCAGTCTATTAAAAAAAATATCCATTTTCTAACTATCAACTATTTAAAATCATTAACGACAGAATATGTTCAAAATGTAAGTTACAATGTAGTTAGATATATTCCAAAAGGATTGGTTACATTTGATGATTTTTTTTTCAATAAAATGGAAGTGGCATGCCTTTGTTGAAATGATAATGTGTGGCTGCACCAGAGCTAATTTGTTAATTTAAAATAAAAATAAAAATGAAAGATGGTAAATAAGTTTTGACTAGAATAGTGTCTCGCCTTGGAATACCACCTACTTTTCAATTCCAAACATGATAAATAGGTTTTGCTATGCATTTAAGTTGAGGTTTAGTTGAAATCTTCTAAAATTTGAACTAAATTGATGCTTTGAGAGATGATCTTATTATTCTTTGAGAATATGCCCTCTCATAAAAGAGTGAAATAATATTTAAAAAATAACAAAATGTTGAAGTGTTATTTAAAGAGATAGTAAAAGAAATAGTAAAAAAAAAAGAGATAGTAAAAGATTCTATGCACTTTTCAAAAACTTGTGGGCAATAAAGATATTTAGAAATGTTTTTATAATTAAAAGAGATAATGCAGACATAAATTTATTTTGTTAAATTATATGAAAGGAAGTTTGTGTTTTGTTTCTTAAAACTGAATTCATCTTTAAGTGTTAGTTAATTGATCCTGCTCTGTCGAAAATACTAAAATTAGCTTGGACACACGATGGTAGAAGATTCTGTATATTTTTTTGGGAAGGAGATTCTGTAGACGTTTCAGCTAATCCCCTTCCTCACTTTTCACCTAAATAAAATGATAGTATTTGTTATTGATAAATCCCCTTTGAGTTAATTGAAATTATTTTGAATATTTATATGGTTACAGCTTGTTTAATTGTTAGAAAAGATTTCTAATTTGGTCTTAGAAATTTTTTTAAAACAACAATTTAATTTTTTAAATAATTCATCAGATTGATCCTAAAATAATTTTTTGTCATCACTGGACAATAATTTGTTGCGAAAAAACAATAACTTCTGAATTATTTTGATATAAAAAAAGAATCATTTCAATGACTAAATTAATGTAATATTCATTCAAGTATCAAATTTGTTATACAAATATTTAAAAGAAAAGATGCAGAGGCAAGAGACTTGAGAAAACTGTAGAGGGAAGAGGAAAGAACTAATCATCCAGCATAAGGCTCCCGATTCTTGAAAACAAGGAATAAAATGCAGCAAAAAGTTGAGACTTGAGAAAAGATGGAAGGTTAATTATTCATTCAATAAAATATACCTGAAATCTAGTATAGAAGACATTTGGCACATCAGCATATATGAGGTCCCACATAAGAAGATAAATAAACTGCAACCATAATACCATGTCAATGTAAGAAGAGGTATACGCTCCATCTATTTGTACATAAATGCCAACCATGTGCACTATTAGCACAAATGATATGCTGCTGCAATATTATCGTATCATATGAATGAAAAAGTTCTCAATTAATTGTAAAGTTCAGCATTAAAGTAGCATATCCCACGTCCATTAAAATAAGCATATCCAAGACATGTTTGCATAACATCAAATACAGACGAACAGTGACCAAAATGTCACTGTTCACCAAGTTTTTTATCTAAATGCCACGCGAACAGTGTTATTTCTTAATCTGTCACGGGGGCAAGTTCGCTACCCGGTGTAGCGAACTCGGTTTGCTGACGTGTCAAGTTTCTAGTGGATAACAAGTACCAAGTTAAAAAAAAAATCACACTTTTTTTTTTAACTTGGTACTTGTTATCCACTAGAAACGTGACACGTCAGCAAACTGAGTTCGCTACACCGGATAGCGAACCTGCTCCCGTGACAGATTGAGAAATAACACTGTTCGCATGACATTTAGATAAAAAACTTGGTGAAGAGTCGCATTTTGGTCGGTGTTGCAAATAAAGAATCATATTGGACAAAATCCTTTGAGGTCTTGACTCGTTATTGGAGTTCATTAGACTAGGAGCAGGACCTAGAGTTCAGCATCTTTTATATGTGAAGCTATTTCATTCAGTAAACATGGACAAATAAATACAATAATGTGGTTGATGGATGAAAGGCAGCAGGGAAACCTGTATAACTCACTTGGGAAGTCTCTGATCAAATATGTTGCAGAAAATAACTGTCTTTATGGTCTCTTTGAGTTGCAGCACATATTATCTTCAAGAATCTCAGATAGAGGTGCTTAGGAATTTGAATACTCAATTGTATTAATGAGTTCATTTGTTTCTAAAGGCTTTATCTTTTTACTATGATTAATAAGATTACATATCATCTTATTTTACTATTTCTTTCCCTTTTATAATAAAAAAAATGAGCAGACAAGAGAAAATCACTATAAATATCACAAGCACTTTATATCAGTGGCGGAGCCACGTTGTACCTGGGTGTGGCCTCTGCTCGGGCTAAATTTTAACAGATTGTACTTATCATGTATAATTATATAATTAATTATAATTTGGCCTAGTCTAAAATTATAATTTGGCCCGGGTTAAAATTTGTAATTTGGCCCTATCAAAAAAAATATATTTAGTGAGAGATTTGGATAAATTGTATTAAGTTATGTGTTCCATTTCCATTTATATAAAAAAATTAAAATATAGGAAAAACTTCAAAAAAACCCTTATAACTTTTTTCATAATCATTTATCTTCTCTCCAAAATTTTGAATCATTTATTCCCCTAACTTAAAGTTTTTTTTATCATTTACCCCCTAACTTAGGAGGGTAAATGATAAAAAAAACTTTAAGTTAGGGGGTAAGTGATAAAATAATCTAAATAAGGATGTAAATGATTCAAAAAATTTGTGAGGGGGTAAGTGATAATTAAAAAAACTAATAAGATTTTATTTTTGAAGTTTTCCTTAAAATATATTCAATAAAATTTAAAAATATTTAATAAAATTATAATTCTTTTTCATACTTCCTACTCAAGTAGAAAAATAAATATACATGTAATTTTTTGGCCCAGGCTCGAGTTGGAGGCCGGTTCCGCCACTGCTTTATATCAAACATCAAAAGTTAAATTCAAATATTCAAATGACCTTTTCTAGAGTATAGCCGGATAAAAAGCCTCTGACTGTCATTTGAGAGTAAAGTGAATGACTCTGCCAATGGAGGAGACATTGTGTAAAGATTAAACTATATGATAAAAAAAGTTTTCAAGAAAATAAAAGCCACAGGTATTAATATTAATACCCATATAGGTTTTTTCATCTTCTGTTAAAAGGTGAACATTATTTCTTAACACCTCTTGAAGCATAAGAGAAAAATTCAGCTGATACTTTACAGATGAAGGAGGATTCCTGCTTTCAATTTCAACAACATGCTGAGCGTTTTTCCATAAGCGTTTAAAAGTGTCATTATCGTACTCGCTTTCATTTTCTGATGTTCTGTGGCACATAATCTGAATTGGAACAACATCAAGAGAATGTTTTGGAAAGAAGTGACAAGTTCCAAAGAGAAAAATGATGAGAGCCTGAATCAAATAGTTTAATCCACATTTTTTGGAGTAAAGGGAAAAGGAAAAAGGGAAAACCCCGATGCACAAGACTATTCTGCTTGCAAAGGTAGGATGAGAGTCGATTACATACAGCCTTATCTTTGTATTTTTTACAAAAAAGTTGTTTCCTAAACTCGAACCCGTGAGGCTGTAACCTTCCGAGTACAAGGAGCAACCTTAACATTATGTCTTGATTTTGTGATGCAATCGAACCATAGGTAAAATGCCTATGTTTCTTCTTATTCCTCTCAATTGCTAACCCGTTTTCTTCGATTTTATCAACCACCTAGAATAGATTTCTCTGGAAAACATCAATTTCCTCCCCATTAAAACCCAATAATTGAATCTTTCTATATTGGTTTCAAAAACTATCATACCCAAAACATTAACCTTGGAAATAACCTGTTCACAGCACCACAATAGTCACATTTCTAATCCCTAAATCCCTTCGTATTGCCCCGCATCAATTCGACTTCAATAGAAATACACCTGAGAACATGTATACTACAGCATGGCACAACAAAGATTTGCCTTCTTCCCACTAAAACCACTAAAACCAATCAACAAAAACTGCTGACAGTCTAACTAATAGTCCGCTCATAAAAAAAGCAGTAGTTTCTGAACTAGAACAATCACATAATTCACAACTCAACTCTCAAATGCCTTCTATATCAATAATTCGTTTGACACAAGTACAAATAACAAGCAGAAGAGAAGTGACAAAGGCACACAAATATATAAACAACTCATCATTAGGCTAAAACTTTTTAATACCTTAAAACTAAAGCCACACTCATCAATTAGAGGGGATAGATATTGTGCAAGTTCATGGGGAAGAAAAACCTAATAATTTGTTGCACGCAGAATCTGAAAAGTATAAAGATAAGAAAAACTAACTACCTTGTTGTAAAATAAGAAAAACATCAAATGACAAGGAGAAAACAAAAAATATAAAGATAAATAGAGTCAATTTAGCAACAGGACAATTGTAAATTCTGTAAAGTAGGAAGCTAAAGTAAAATTAGACTGTGACAGAAAGAACATAATCCTAAATTTATTGTGGGGTTTTTGGCCATTATATACACCATCTATCAACTTCTGCCTAATTTTCATTTTCCGCCTCGGCCTTTCTCTTTCGAAATGATTCACCATCTTAGTCTCACACTGCACGTAACAATAGTAAATATTCATAGTCTTAGTCCACTAAATGAATACAAAACTATAATAAATAAATCATTATTAAAATACACTAACCCTCGCCATTGCTTTTTTTGTCCAGAAAACTCAAGTTGTATGTCAAGTCAGAAGCACATAAACGTATGAATGTACTTTCGACCCCAAGGTCTCTCATCCTTTGACTCTTGAGATCATAGGAATGCAATGACACTGTTTCTCCAGGCCATGAAGAATGTGGAAGCACTAAAACTTCAGAGCTTTTGTTCTGTCCCAATAGTTGTTCAATCTTTCCCTCTGATAAATAAACACTCTGAATATTACTCCATGACTCTCTCTTCATCCATATATAACAGCTACCACCAGGAAGGTACTGTATAAGCGAGAGGCAACCATCGATCACAGTAATGTCCAACCTCCTTAAGAAATTGGCCAACACATCTGGAAGCACCATCTCGTTGAATTTCTCCTCCACCACATTGAAGATGAGTATATAGTAAATTATTGATGGTTGTCGTTGTTCATGGTTTCGATAGAGTATCTTCTTGCGGGCAAGCCAATGCACATTCCCCTGATAAAATACTTGTTGCCCGCAATGCACAATCCGGTAATAATACAATTCAGGGTCTGAAAGATTGATACTTGGTTGCATGAGTGAAGAAGAAGCATTGATGACCCTCCAAGCACCTTGGTTGACAGAATACAACTCCACCACAGGATGAACCCTAATGTCGTTAGAGTAACAAATACTTATAACCTTAAAATCATTCTTTTTGGAATCAAAGCAAAACCCAAACTCAAAACTAAACCCCAAATGTAGGTAAGTGTAATCATCCATCATTGGGGAGGTTGGGAGCTTTAACACTCTACCTCTCAGAGGATTAAAGAGGCTGATCCTGGTTTTGAAATTATTGTGGGAAGTAAAGCAAACGACACCATTGAGAGCCCCTACAAAACTCTTTATACTATCATGAGGAAGCAATAAATAGGAGCATTGGATATTTGGGGAGCATAGAAAATAGCGATCATCTGAGTGCTGGAGAAGGAAGAGAGGAATGGAGGATATGCGCTTTTTTACCAAAAAGTTCCATGATCTGCACACTGCCATGCAGTTTAAAATGCTTCTAGGCGGAAGGCGACGGAGGATTTCCTCAACTATATCAGGAGCTGAGAGTATCAACTTTTTTATCAAGAAGTTCCATGATTTGCACACTGCCATGCACCTTCCAATGCTTTTGGGCGGAAGGCGATGGAGGATTTTCTCCAATATATCTTGAGGAACATAATCATACATTGTGATACCCCGTGACAGTGACGATTTGGTAGCGAAACCCTAATAGTATACGAGTCTTTTGTTTTGTGACAAAACCCTGATAGTATTTGTATTATGGGTTTGGTGTTTTGTCATCTTAGGAGAGATAGAGATAGGAGTGTAAATGGGCTGGGCTAGGCTGGGCTTTGGCCTTCCTGGCCCAAGCCTACGTAAAAATACATTCAGCTTATTTGGCCTACCGGTCTATTAAAGGCTTTATTTCTAGGTCAAGCTCGGCCTCTTTTTAAAAATAAGAAAGCCTGACATGGCCTACATGCCTTGTAGGCCTCCCACTATAGATACTAAGCAAAGAAAATAATTGTATAGAGTAAAGAAAGTTCCATTCATACATGCACTAGTACTTCTCATAAGAAAAAAATGACAAACAAGAAAAAGTCAACATAATACCCCAAACGAAGCCGAGAGTGAGAAGTGGCGGTGCACATAAAAATTAGGGTTGGTATTGGTACTTTGCCACATAAATTATTATTATTTTATTTTATTTTAATAAATTAAATAGGCCAGCCTACGAGACTTTAGGCCAGGCTTGACAAAATTGGCCTACGACCTATTTGTTAAAAAAGCTTTCTTATAATCCTAAGTCTACTCTACATTCTCTAAAAGGTCGGGCTAGGCCAGGCTCAATGTAGGCCGGGCTGGGCCAGCCTCACCCATTTACATCCCTAGATACCGACACAGAAAAAACAGAAATCATGAGAGAGAGAAAGTGAGTGATTTTTTTAATTTAAAATTCAAATTTTCTGTGTCTGTATCTCTCTTAAAATGACATAACTTCCTGTCATTTAAAATGACAAACACTTTTCCCTTGTATTATATGATAAAAACCTAAGATCTGTTAATAGCCCGTAATATTATTAAAGCCCCTAGAACTATAAGTCTACAAAACTAAGGAATAGGTTATTCTATCTACTTTATTTTTCTCTACCTTTGCTTACCACTTTTGAATACCGTTAGATTAGAATATGAACTAACATTTATCTTTTTTTTTTTTTTTTAATATTGAGATTTTGATCTAACAGTATTGGAGGGTGAAAGTCAAAGATAGAAAAAAGAAAAAAGAAAAAGTAAAATAATCTATGCTAAAAATTAATTGGGTTAAAGACAAGAGAGTGTGTAAATTATTGGCTCTTCTAAAAAATATTGCCTTTTTTTAAAAAAAATATATATATATTAATTTATTTTTATTTTATTAAAGTCGACCTCTATTTGTTCAAGTAAATATCAAAATTGGATTATATCGACTAAATTGACATTAAATTAGTATTATATTAAAAAATATTATTAATTTATTAGGTTAAATAATATTTAAAATAGTGTACTAAAATTCACTAGGATTAACCTAGTGGTGAGGGGTGTGTGTTAGGTGTTTGTAGTATAGTGGTGTGTGTTTATTCCCATGTAATGCAAAAAAAAAAAATAGTCTTCTAAAAAAATATTTAAAATAATAAATTATTATTAATTGTCTGATCTAATATTTTAAATTTAAAAAAAATATAAAAACATCAAGTTTATTATGATAATTTGATTAGTCATTTTTTGTAATAGGAGATGACGAATTCAAAATTCAAATAAGCTGAGCAGTGTATACATAATTAGATTTGAAATACTCTTCAAGTTTTGTTTATATATGAACAATAAGAATGAAAGGAAACAAACTCATGTTACAGAACATTTGTTTGTAGTCTAAGATAAAGATTTGGTGATTTTGAGGGGGCGATTGCCCCTCCTAACCCTTGGCTCCACCATCGATTCCGATAATGTTTTAGGAATATTGCAATAAGACGGAAGATAATTCTAACTTTTTAAAAAAAATTACTAGAAACATCAATAGATAAGTCGATTTTTCAAAAGTCTATTCAAATGAGGATTTTTTTTTTTTTTTGGGAGGGGCTTTGATAATAGGACAAACCTGCATTTTACGAAGAAATACAACTAATTCAATAAGAAATATAAAGAAACAGGAGTTTATTCGATGAAATGTATGATAAGGATAATAAAGACAAAACAAAAACCAACAGGAGCATGGAGAGAAAGATGAACCCAAGACGCATAGAAACAATAGACTAAATGGAAAATTACAATAAAAAAATGTTGGCCTATGACCATACTCCATAGATCACAAACATCCAACCAAACAACTTAAATAAAAATTCCTTACTGTATTTGATCAACTAAATTGAAAGATTCATAGAATTTATGGTGGGATGATAAAGAAACTGATAATGTATTCCAAAATAAGCATAATTATGAGCAGTGGCGGATCCAGGAAAAATTATTTATGTGCACATATTTAGCGGTGGGGGTTCGGGGCAACGCTCCCGAATTTTTTTTTTTGTAAAGACAGTTTAGATTAAGGCTTTATGTACGATATTATGAACTCGCTCATAATTTAGTTGCTTCCCTAACAAGTTGCAGGCAATAGTTTGACCAATCATTTTCCCTTCTAAATCTTACCAATTCTCCAAAATAAATATGATAATATACTCCAGTACATTCATACATCATCATTCTATTTTATAGTGGTGAATAAAAAAGTCAACACTACCGGTACAGAAGACAAGCGAAGTCACAGTAAAGGTCTCGTCTTTAGATATTAACTTATTTGAGAATATCAGACGTGCAATCAACCCTCTCTTTTTATAAAAATGAAAAAGGAAGTAAATGATGAAGAGAGTATGAGAATGGGTACATGACAGGGAAGGAATAATCAGTTTTCTCTCTAATCAATTTTTGCGTTGCTATGTTGTTTTAATCATCTCTGTACGTTGCTACGTTGCTAACTAATATAAGAGTAAATACTCTTTTTGGTTACTAACAAAAAATTTAGTCACTTTAGTCCCTTACAAAAAAATATAGAGACCTGGTTCCTATGAAATTCAAAGTGGACACATTTTAGTACTTTTGAGTGACTAATGTGGGTCTTTTTTGAATTTATAAGAGACCACAATTTTAACTAAATTGATCTACTTTGAATTTCTTAAGAAGCTCGAGACTAATTTTTTTTATAAAGGAATAAAGTGGGAATCATATTCTTTATTAAGGACTTAAAATGATATTTATTCATAATATAAATAGTGAACCAAGTAACAAATAAAAACCTCCAACAAAGAAAAAAAAACAACAACAACAATAAAAGTCACAATATTTATGTCCGCAACTGCGGACATTTGCTACCAACTACGTCCGCCAGTGATTATGAGAATGAAAGACGTTAATATGAATGCCGCCGAGTGCGTACTTCAAGACCCAGATGATTTTGACAAAAAGAAGTAGCATTACACATTTTTAAGATCCATCCCAAACCCAGATGATTTTGACTCCGTTACATGATTATGTTTGCCTAAGCTCATGGTCTATGTAGCACCGATACGACACGTGACACGTGACACGACACGACACGACACTCCGACACGTCAATTTTAAAAAATTATGGATTTCGACACGTTGGGACACGTTTTAATATTAAATAATATTTTTAATTTATATAGTGTATATTTCATTTAATATTTAATAATTTAACAAAAAAATGAAACTAAATTAATAATACCCATCAACACGTTATAAAGATGGAAGCTTTAATAAAAAAAATACGAACTGGGATGAGAGAGAGATATAATATCAGATAGAGAGATCAAATCATATTAGAGAGAGATACAACAAGAGCATGATGAGAATTGACAACAATGATGCTGAGATGATCTCTTATCTACTTAAGTGGAAAAAAGACAAAAAGATAAAATTGATATGATCAGGTGGAAGTTTTATTAATATATTTTAACTTTTTTAAAAAAAAAAAATTTTTAAAAAAAAATTAAAAAAAAATTACGAAAATGCCATTTGACCGTGTCGGACACGGTCAAATTCGCGTGTCGGAATAGTCAACGTGTCGGAAAAAGTCAACCACGTGTCCGACACCGTGTCGGAGCGTGTCGCCGTGTCGGAGCGTGTCGGACCCGACTCTTCCTGTTTTTACAAGTGTCCGTGCTTCCTTGCTCATGGTAACATCAAGTAAACAAGGAATAGTGACTAAAATATCACTATTCACCTAATTTTTTACTTAAATGTCACGCGAACAATGTTATTTTTCAATATGTCATGCGAGCAAGTTCGTTGGACACTGTAACACATGGTAACGAACTTGGTTGAAATACATATTCCAACCAAGTTCGTTAACCAATGTAGAGAACTTGATATTTTTTATTTTTTTTTAACTTGGTACTTGTTATCCACTAGAAACGTGATGAGTTTGCTACAGTGCTAACAAACTTGCCCACGTGACATATTGAGAAACAACATTATTCGAGTGCGTGGTATTTAGGTAAAAAAATTGATGAACAATGACATTTTGGTCGATGTTCCAATAAACAACCACACATATATAGCACATTTAATACATGTGCTTTCCAATTGCAAAAAATCCTTTCGAGTGCAAGTTGAATGACATAACCTTAAAAAACTCTCAATCTGCAAAGCACGTACACAATTTTTTTTTTAAATCTGCGTGTCAGATACGTGTTCGACACGGACAAGCTCCAACATGTTCAGATACGCGTCCGACAGGCGGTCAATATTTGGAGACACGTTCGGGCACATTTTTTTTTTAAATCTTAATTTTATTTTGTTAACTAAATATAAAAGAAATAATTTATAAATTAATTTTTTCTGTTATGAATTTTGACATTAAAAATTAAAAAAAGTATGAAAAATTATTTATATTTATATTTATGTTATAAAATTTAAATATTTGATTAGTTATATGACTTATTATGAACTTTTATATGTATTAAATATAAATTATATTATATATATTAAAAAATTTATTTAATATCAAAACGTGTCCCAACGTGTTAAAATATGATATTTTTTAGAATTAACGTGTCGACATATTGTGTCGTCCCGTGTTCCATATCCGTGTCCGTACGTCATGGCTATGAAGTGATGAGAACTGCATCCACTCCACATTTCAAAAAGTAACAACACACAGCAACAGTGGTATAACTCACTATAATGTAACAAAAATTACCAACAAGCACAGATATAGTTAAGCTCAAATTACACTAACAATCTTGAGAAAAAATTGCAAGAATTCATTGAGACTTGAAACAAAACTTAATCAATCTCAAAATAAAATAAAAAAAAGTTTACAAAACAAAAAATCAATTGATCTTGTGATCCATTTTCTTGACAAGCTGAGCCATCTGAAACCTCCAAAAGAAGAAATAAGCGAAGCCAATACCAATCAAAACAAAGATCCAAACATTCTCATTTTGACCTTCCTTTTTGGATCTCATCTCAGCAATTCCAAAACTCTCTCTCCCTGAATCCCCCATTCTCCCTTCATTCAAATGCCCATACAAAACATATAACCTTTCCTTCTCCCCAACCACCACCGACGTCGGAAACCGCCGCAGATCAAGCTCCACCTTGTCATACACCGCTCCCTCCCCCCAACTATCCATGCTCTTCAAGAACCACATCTTGTTCATCGGCGACACCACCGCCGCCACGCCGTCCTGTCTGACGGCGATGTCGTCGGCGCCGACCAGATCCTCGCTCAGCAACACGTTCCTCGCCGTGCCGTCCATCGCATCCACCTTGAACACCTTCCCGGTGCTCGATTGCACCACCAGGAGGTAGCCCTTGCTGACGTAAGCGATCCCGTTCAGCCCTAGGAGGCCGTGCGGTGCGTCGCGGTCCACCGGATTATTATTCGTCTCCGCCGTGTACAGCGGCGATTTGGAGAAGATCGAGGCGTCTCCGTCGGCGGTGACCTTCCAGATGAAGTTTCCGGCGGAGTTGGTGACGAATGTGTTGCCGCTGTTGTCGACGGCGACGTCGTTGGCGGCGGAGGGTGCGTCGTCATCGCCGTCGGAGGTGAGAGGGGAGAGAAAGAGGCGGCGGCGGGAGCGGAGATCGTAGGCGGCGAGGGCGTTGAAGGGAGGGAGGGGATGGTGGGCGTGGACTACGGCGAGGAGGCGGTTCCGTGGGGAATCGACGGCGAGACCGAGGAAGGAGGCGTCAGCGGGAAGGTCGGTGTCGGAGATGAAGGTTTCGACGACGCCGGCATCGGAGACGGCGGCGATTATGCGTTGGCGGAGGGAGCCGAGGAGGAAGTGCTGGGCGTGTGGGTCCCAGGCGAGGGATTCCGGGTAGAGGTTAGGTGACCGGAAATTGATGACGTGAGCATTCCGAGCGAGAATTGGACTTGGGCCCAATAAGAAGAAGAAGAAGAAGAATAGGTAGTGCATGGTTAGTTGGAAAGGGAGAAGCGAAACACGAAAACGAAACCAAACAATTATAGCAATTTATGGGTTGACTAATCATTCAAGTATGTAACTAAAACTGAGCAATTTTTGGGTTGACTAAGATTTAAGTTTGCAACATTTATACATCTATATACTACTATGTACCTACATGACTATAAGAATGGATAAATGATATGATACTTACATGCAAAATCCATTAGTGCACGTGAGGAACATATTTTATAGAATCACCCTATAGAAGAGGTTTTTTTTTTTTTTTTTCATTTAATAATGTCTTATTAGAAAAAAAATATGGAGTTTGAGAAATTGTCTTATTTTCAATAAAGGACCACTAACATGAATAAACACTATCTCAAGTTACTAATTAAATAAAATCACATTTGCATGATTGACTGCCTTATCCATATGGAGTTTGAGAAATTGTCTTATGTTGATATCCATATGCTCCACAGTCTTGCTGATTTTAAAACCATTGACTGCCTTAGCAAAAGTGCTCCTAACATGCTTAATTTGAGTCTAGGATTACAAGGGAAGGGGGGGTAATGAAAACTTTTCCTTTTTTTTTTTCTTTTTCTTTTTTGGAAACTATGACAACTTTTCCTATAGCATGATTAACCCTCCAAGGCAAGAACCATGCATGCTGCCAATTGCAAATGGAACGTAACGACTGCGCAAATTAAACAAGATCTTTCGGAGCGATCCTTTTGCAACACAATGACGAGGATAACATAGATCTTTCGGAGATAAGCGAAGATTGCAAATAAGAACAGGAAGGTGAAACAGGAGCAAACGCATGGGGATGATGATCAAGAGAGCAAAGGAGAAGAATGGAATGTTGAATTTCAAGTGCACAAAGGCGGCTATAACAATTTTATCAAGCAAATGTTGTCCTTTCCTAAAGGTTTCACAACCTCCCAAGAGTTAGGATTTGATATATCCAAAGATAATGGATTCGATTCCTGAACAGAGTCACAACTTCTGCGCTCAAATTTAAATTAGATTAGTTAACTTGTTAGGGTTTCGAATATCGGTTGGTATCTAAAAAAAAAAATTCACAATTAAGTCTTTTCTTTTTAAATAAATATAACATTTACTTAATTAAAATACAATATAATAATATTTTATTGACTTAATTAATATATCAAATTAAATATCATATCTTTATATGACAACAAAAAAGTTCTCTAAATGAAGTGATACACACATATATATATATATATATATATATATATTTGGGAATTGCATTCCATAATAATAATAATTTGACTATTAATTTTTCTTTTTCTTTTCATATTTCGCCTTATTTTTAAATTTTTTTACAAATTAAAAAATATCAAATTTAGTATTTATGAAACAAAAAAAAAATTAACAGTTGGTAACTTGGCGCTGAGTTAGTGGGGTTGGATATGTGTTCGATTCCCGCTGAATGCATTCTTGGGGAGGTGGCTGAACCTTTAGCCATCACTGTTCCCCCGCACTCCGGATTAGTCTCATAGCCGGCTCAAAGAGTCGAAGCTCGTGGGGATACCGGAGGGAGCCAACTCGTCTCAAAGAGATAATTAGGGTTGGGTAACTCCAAAAAAAAAAAAAAACAATAACACTATTATATGTCAATAAATTTTAAAAATAGCCCAAAGCCCACTTTGATTCAAGGCCCTAGAGGTCCAAAGCAGAACTACAATCCCAAAACCATTTCCATATATCTTGGGGATTAATTATGACAAGATCTTTTTATTTCTATTCTGATTCTCCAAGATAATGATTAATTAGAGGAAGTCTTTAGCTCTTTTTTTTTTTGGTTAATAAGTCTTGAGCTTATTAATATTGAAGAAAAAGTTCAAAAATTCCCTATGATTTCTTTTAGAATCAATTACCATCTTATGATTTTATTTTATTTTTGTATCATTTACTCTTATGATTTTTTCCATCATTTGGACCTCATAAAAATCATTATAAACCCAAAATCATTGGTTACTTGCCTTAGTATTATAATAAATTAACAATACACAGTTTATTGAAATTGGATTAAAAAAAAATTACGCTATGAAATTTTCATTTTAAGAAATTGAGAAAGGTGAATGGGAACACAACAATAAATAGTCTCATAGTAATTCTTTTTAAAGGGATAAAATGATTGTCTAAATTATTTTTTAATAGAATTAGAAGGTGAAATGAATGAAAAAAATTATAGGCAATAAATAATTAAAAAATCATAAAAAAAGTAAGTGATTCTAAAAGAAATTATAAAGAATTTTTTGAACTTTTCCCTAATGCATGCATTCAATTATGTACAAGAACTTGGATTTCAAGCCGTTTTCTGAATAGGTTCAATTAAAATGGCATTAATTTTATACTTTTATATCCCAAGACATGTGTTAACAAATGAGAAAAAAGAGACAAAATATTTGAAATTTGAAATAAAGAGAAAAGTTGTAAAGAAAAATTTGAAACTTTTATGTTTAAAGTTTTTTTTCTTTCTAATCTCCAAACCAAAAAGTTTTTTGTTTCTTACTTTAATTTTCATTTTCTCTTCAACTAAAAAAGATAATATTTTGAATTTAAAAAAGTTTACTTTCGTCTCTAGTTTTTCCTCAATCCATATATATATATATATGTAAATGTGTGGGCAACCATACATCTATGTATATTCTCACTAATTATTCATATTTATTTCTTCAAGAGCTATCCATATATGACATGTTATGTTTTTCATATTATCACTTGATCAATTTTGACAAGTTGTTTAACAATTATGATTTGTGTGAGTAATGGGATGAGAACCTTCGGATTCAAAATGCACAAACAAAAGCATGCACGTGAAGCCCAAGCTGTCAGCCAAATTTCACCACAAGAAGGAACAAAATATGCTACATCACTGGCCATTTAACAAAAAAAAAAAAACACATTATAAGATGGACCACGAGAAAGATAAGAGAGAAAGAGAGTAACACACACACACACTCTCCATAGTCCATCCCTTAATAATTGCAATTGCTCTTAACTTTTCTATTTCCGGTAAAAGTGAAAGACAGTGAAAGAGAATCTCAATAACCATCAATCTCCACGTACGTACACCCTTTTATCATATTTAATTTCAGCATCTTTTTTCTTTAGCAACATTTGAAGTGAGTAGTGAGAAAGATGTTATTCTTTCTTTGTCTTTCTTTCTCTCTCTCTCTCTATGCTTTTTCTTCTTCAATATCCATGAAAAGCACCCACCTTGCTTACAAAGTTGCTCCTTTTCCCTCCTCCACTCATTCTTTTCTCTTTCTGTTTCTTTTGTCTCCCATGTTTCTTTATCTTTCACTTCAACCTGCACATGCATTTCCACTCTCACATCAATGTCATGCCTTTGGTATGACGTGCTTATTAGGAAAATTAATCAACATCAATCCAATCCTGTCTCATCTTTTATGGTAAATTATGAATTTTTTGTCATCAAAGTTACTAACCCAAATGTTGATTTCTAGTTTGTAACCCTTGGTAATCATATATGCTCTGTAAAAGCTACATGCAAGTCAATCTTTATGCGCCTTTGGCTAAGATCATGTCCAGATTATTTAAGCATATAAATAATCAATTCAATTCTTTTATGAAAATTTTAAATATTTAATTATCATTGTCAATTTATTTACTTATTATTGCATCATTAAATGAATTTAACTTTTTTTAATCTGGAATTCAGCTTTTATAAGTAGCTATTGTCATAATCAAATTAGAGGTATCTTCATTCAACCTCCTGTGGTCACCTTGCTATCAGGTACGACCCTGTAGGCTAGTCCCTCATTAGAACAACGAGTGCATTGAGCTTCGTTATCGGAGGAAGGATGAGACTAATCCCCCATTCGAGGAGGGAGACACATCCTTTGACCCCCAAAGATTTTTCAAAAATTTGTTTGAGGCAGGATTTGAACCCCTGCCTCAAGCAAGCAAACTCTTGGGAGCTCAGTTGCCAACTGAGCTACCCTCCGGGGGTCAAATTATTTTAATCTAACACAAAAATGGATGATAATATAATTTTACACTATTTTTAAAGCCAATCATGTTTCCCCATTTTTTGTTAAAAAGAATAATATTCCCAAATACAATGCTTTTACAAAAGTTTTGGATAATTTTAATCTTAAAATTAATAAAACATAAATGAAAAGAATAAATGGTTTAAAAAGAATAATCTAGAATGAGTAACTCATTTAAGTACGAATTCATCTTAACGAGACTTCATGTATTTTGAATTACTATCGCCCCTTTTGAATATCGTTTTTATTACAAAAATATCCCCTCTGTTTTGAAAACTCTACAAAACACAAATCTCTCTCTATTTTGAAAACTAACGAAACCACCATGTCAGGGAATATTTATCAAAGAATTAAGAAGAAGAAAATGTTAAACATGTAAAGAACACGAGGGGCGGTGAGGATCGAAATCGTGATTTCATGGTCCGTGAAGTTCTGATATCATGTTAAGAACAGATATGTGATGATCTTTTTAATACTTTATATTTTATTCTCTGACAGACAGTGAGTAGGCATTTTGCTGAAATACCTGAAGGGGCGTTTGGTACAGCAGAAATTTTTATTTGTCCAGGAATCTCGAATTTCAAAAATATGATTTTTATATTCAGTTTACGATAATATCCGAAAATTTAAAATTTAAAAAAATTCAGTTTCCCGGGAATCCTACGAAATGCCACGTACCAAACGGGCCCTCACGAAAAAGAATAATTTGATTTTTGCAGTTGAGATAACGCTTTCATGACCAGAAAATTGATTCCCAAAAAACACAGACAAATGCAACTGTATGTGTGTAGTAGAAAGCATACTACTAGGGAAAAGTACTACTATGTCCAAATCATTCAAGGTTGGATTGATGAGGTAATTTTGGAATTGCTTAACAACTTGTCCAATAACCCTCAGCGAAAAAGAATAATTTGATTTTTGCAGCTGAGATAACACTTTCATGAACAGAAAATTGATTCCCAAAAACACAGAAAAATGCAACCGTAGAAAGCAGACTAGAAGGGAGAAAGTTTGGAGGGAGGGACCAAAAACAAGAGGGACACTTGCACATGAAACACAGAGGGCCAATATATCTATCACTGTCCCACAATAGAAGGTCATAATCTTATTATATGACAACTAGATTTGATTCTCTTATCTTGGAAAACGCACTTCGTTTTGAATAATTTTGAAAGATTGAAATGAAGCTGACTTTTGGCTCTGATTTTTTGGGATACTTCCTTAGATAGTTTTAAATTTTATATGTAGCTAAACAAAAGGAAAACAACTAATTAAGTTCAATAAAAGAGGGGAAAAAAATCACATAGCAGTATAAAAAAAATGGAAAGAACTATTTCAACCTGTAAAATGGAAAGTATTAGGTGAATGTTACATTAATGCGTTGAGCCCCTTATCCTTGTCACAATATATAGTAAGAATTGAATTTACGACCACTTAGTTGCTGAAGCTCTAATATAATGTAAAATAACAATTTCAACCCAACAGCATCAACATCAACGTTAATATCAAGAGCATTTTTAACCCAAGCTAATTGGGGTCAGTGGAATTTCAACCCAACAATTTAAGTTATTAGTTTAATGTCATATTAATAGTTTTATATTATGTTTATGTAAGAAGAAAATGTGAATCTAAAATGTTTGTATGTAACATTATGATAATCTTATTAAAAGAATAATTACAATGAAAAATCTAGCACATACCTCTTCCTCAGATTTTGTTTTGGCATTTGAATTAGGTGAGTCTGCAGCTCGATTTTTTGATCTCTCTATGATGGATGGAGTTGAAGCAGGGCTGGGGCTGCTTGAACTAAGATAAGGAGGTGTGCTTTGAGTCCCCACATCTCTTGTCATTCCCTCTTTCTTCTTTTCTGCATAGAGAGGCAAAGTAGAATTGGGAAGTAACTTGAACTGTGTCACTCCAAGTAAAAAATGAAATACAGAAGAATATGTGAACCTGAAATGGGAAGTTGAAGAGCCACAACTTCTTGTGTGTAGGTTGATGGCTTTGTTTGAATTTGTCTTGAAGAATAAACTAGAGGAGCAGACATGGTAATTCTGTTTGTTGAATTTCTAAACGATCTTCCACTAAGAGTTTTTGCAGATAAACACTCCATTGGTACCTCCCCTGAGAGAGGGTTGCATATATACCTTTCTGCTTCATTCCACTTTGAATTTAAAGCAAACCCATCTGGGGATAAGCACTCCCAACTGTTAAAGCCTGCCCTTGCTTGTAATGCTGCAATGGACCACCATTCAATTGATTCAAAAAAAATTATGAAAAATAAGCCTGTTATCCTAATAATCATTGAGGTTCATTCACTGGTATGTTACCTTTAAGAGCAGTAGTGAAAGAGTATGTTGAAGGGTCTATTTCATCTGCAACAAATGGGAGAATTTGAGGTAAAAAGGAAGTTAAAATCATGATCCTTTGAATTGGAGTACAAAAATAAAAAGAAATGTACCTTTTAAGGGGTATCCAGGTGAAGAAGCAGTGCTAGAAATGGTTATGTTTGATCTAAAAGACCTTGTGTCTTCTCTAAAGCTCCTCATGTAAGATCCTGAGTACCTTCTGGAATTGGTGTTCTCACGACTGATTCGAGCTTTCAATGTCCATTCTCTCAAATTGAACTCTGAGTCATCTCTTCTCCTTGAACTACTATAAGGAGATGGTTCAGCTGTGGAGGCCATGAATGAGTAAGAAATTCAGCAGAGTAGAATTTTGTTGGAAATGTTGAAGCCACTCCCACTCAAGTCAAATTTTGCACAGGTTTGAAAGTGGGTGCTGACATGACCAAAAAAGAGGCTTCTGAGGATGAAACTTTTTGGTCTAGGTAAGTTATAGGTGGAATGTGGCTTTGGTATCAATACAAAGACTAGGCATGCCTAAGTTCTGTGAGGAGTGTCTGTCTCTTCCAAATTTTGCTCTTTTGCTTTTTTGAATCTCCAATGTGCAACGACATGCCTCAAATGTCTTTCTATATTGCAAGTATCTTGTTTCTTTTTTGGCCTCTGCATTAAATTCGTTAGACTGACTCAGTAACTTTTTCTTGTTCTTTGACCCCTAAATATACTAGACCACTAGGTGAGTTTTAATCTTCAAGTTTATCATGGGACACTAACTATTAGTAACTCTTTTTTTTATGTGGTTATTTGTTGAAGAAAGACAAAATGAATATTTGTCCACCTTTTTCTTTCTAGTTCCACAAAATTAGGATGCTGTAATTCATGCCAAAATGTCCTTGATATCACAATCCATCCAGCTCACAATATTTTACATTGAGACAATTTTAAAGCTTAAAAAAATGAATGAATTTCTTATTTGTTAGACATTTCAAAGTGAAAATTTTCACAGTCTTGACGTAGGTTTTAAGATTGCATATAATAAGGGATTTGCACCATGTCCTAGCATGAACATCACTTTGGACGATGACTTGTATTTTCTGTAGGAGATTGTCACGTTAGCTACTTGATATACAAGAATCTAAACTCATGGAGGAGGAAGTTATTTGGACCAAAGAAATGAATGAAAGGAAAGAACAATACAAAAAACTGTAGCTATGAGAAGACTCATTAACAACTAACCTAACCTTTTGAAATTGCCATAAATAATGTAAGATCTCAAGACTAAATAAGCAAAATCATCATATATACCATAGAGATTTCTATGTGAAGTCATAATACTTTTTTGTTTAAAAAAATTTGAGCTCAAATTTATATTTTAATTACTAATTTTAATTGCCAAAAATTGTTATCCTTTTAGCCTTTGAACACAATTCCTACATCTGATGGACATTGACATGGTATTCATTTTGTTGATGTGGATTGTGCACATCATTTTCATGTAAGTTAGTAAAAATGTGTTTGCATCATCAAATTATATGTCATATTCACAAAAATGCAAAGTTTCTCAATTAAGACAATACCACATCTGCATTAAACTGATCTGTGAACTTAATTGCGTCGACTTGAAAACGATGAAAAGAGTCCTTCTACATATAATTTCACAAAAAAAAAAAAAACATATCCAGTTATACGTTGACTTTCATTTCCTCTTAAAATCATACGTTACACGTTGAATTATGATATTTTCATTTCCTTGTGTATTCTAAATATATATCAAGGGGAATGTGCACATCGTTCCAAATATGTTTGTAGGAGATTTGTTATTTCATATCATAGGTATAAAATATGTGAAATCCACTTTTTTTAAAAAAAATAAATCAATATTAGTATAGTTTTTTTATGTATGAATAGGAGGGTATGTTATGAGAAAAACATATTCCATATATCAAACTTAATTTGTGAATGTACCGACACCAAATATAATGCTTTGCTCCAAAATCCATCCTCTTTATATGATACCTAGGGAATGCTGTGAGTTAGGTTAGATGAGAACGTGGCTGCAAATTTGCAATGGACATTTGTCCAGTACTTTTACTCTCTTACTCCAATATTCGTACCTCTAATATAATGGAAAAAGATTAAATAGCATAGCTCTTTTCTCTCACCTATTTTAGAGAGCTGAATGTGATTCACATAAAAGTTTTCATATACCAATGTAAAAGATGTTGAAATTAAACAGGAGAGAGGCCAGAGCCTCCACCATCCTTCATTGGATACACCTTTATTGATAATTGATTTATATGTAATTTAAGTGGTTAAAGTAGATAGAAATTTAGATGGAAATCTTCAATTCATTATAAGAACTTCCTCTCTTAATGGGGTTGGATGCATGAAATTTATTATTTCCTTATAATCAATATAATTGGATATGGTCACATGAGTTTAATAACATGAATGATTAGGGTAGGTGAGGATTTAATTAAGACGTCTTAAACTCATTACAACAACTCCTTAATTATGCTACCCTAGGGTACAACTAATAATTGGCCAGGTCCATCGATAAAAAATGAATTTACATTTGTACCCAAATTAAAAAAAAGAAGCATACAATTAGTGGGCCAACATTTGTTGTAATTATGGCAATTCGATTTTGAGACTGACATTGATGGGTTACCCTCTTGTAGTTTTGCACATACTAAAACCAACTAGTCTTAATGTTGATCACTTGATGTTGCTCCCGTCTCACCAAATCACTGATTTCTGTTTAATAAAACACCAACTCCTGATCCTGATACCCCAGTTCATGAAACTCCATTAAGCTGCTGAGATAAGTGAGATTTTTTCAATAAAAAACACGTATGAAAAATGGTTTATTCTAACTCATTCCTTTCTTTCTTTTTTTTTAGAATATATGAATTAGGAACACGGGAGCTCATTAGCTCATCAGCTAAGTGAGCAATAAGCGGCGGAGCCAGCTTCCAATTTGAGTCTGGACCAAAAAATTATATATGTTGTAAATATTTGTTATTTTATTATTATTAGTATTTGTTGTATTGGACCAAGCCCATTAGGTCAAGTATTAGGTTTTTCGTTCTCTATAAATAGATACCTCTTTGTACAGATTATACACACAATTAATAATATTTTCTGATTACCCTTTTTCAACTTGACAGATTCTGCAAACACGGCTTGCCTCTGAGTTTGAAGTCAAAGAACTTGGAAAACTGAGATATTTCCTAAGGATAGAAGTAGCTCATTCAAGGAAAGGAATTTTTATTAGCCAGAGAAAATATGTTCTTGATCTTCTCAAAGAAGCAGGAAAGCTCGGGTGTAAACCCTCTAATACTCCTATTGAGCAGAATCACAAGATAGGCTATGAAGAAGAAAGTCCTCCAGTTGATAAAGGACAATATCAACGGTTAGTTGGGAAATTGATATATCTGGCTCATACTAGACCAGACCTAGCTTATGCTGTTAGTGTTGTCAGTCAGTTTATGCACGATTCAAAGGAGAAACACATGCAGGCAGTAGAGAGAATTTTGCAGTATCTTAAAGCTACTCATGGTAAAGGATTGTTATTCTGACGTGATGGCAATCTTTCTTTAGAAGTTTACACTGATGCTGATTATGCTGGATCTGTGACTGACCGTCGTTCTACCACTGGTTACTGCATGTTTCTTTGCGGTAACTTGGTGACATGGAGAAGTAAGAAACAAGATGTGGTCGCCAGATCAAGTGCAGAAGCTGAATTTCGAGCTATGGCTCAAGGCATTTGTGAGTTACTGTGGCTGAAAATTATACTTGATGATCTCAAAATAAAATGTGAGGGACCTATGAAGCTGCTATGTGACAATAAGTCCGCTATTTGTATAGCTCATAATCCGGTTCAACATGATCGGACTAAACATATTGAGGTCGACCGCCATTTCATCAAAGAGAAACTTGATAGTGGGTTGATTACCACTCCATACATTTCCACTGGGCGTCAATTAGTTGATCTATTAACAAAGGGACTTCCTTCAGACAGATTTCAAGAACTTACTAGCAACCTGGGAATGATAAATATCTATTCATCAGCTTGAGGGGGAGTGTTGTAAATATTTGTTATTTTATTATTATTAGTATTTGTTGTATTGGGCCAAGCCCATTAGGTCAAGTATTAGATTTTTCATTCTCTATAAATAGAGATCTCTTTGTACAGATTATACACACAATTAATAATATTTTCTGATTACCCTTTTTCAAGTATATATGCATTAATTTTTCTTAATTGATTTAGTTAGTTCATATCATAACATATTTAAATTATATTAAATACAGAGCACCTGAGCAGGCAACGTACACCAAAAAGAGTTATAATTTTATTAAATATTTATTAATTTTACAAAAAATATTTTATTTTTTTATACAAGTAGAAATTGAACACATAACCTAATACAACTTACCCAAATCTTTTACCAAAAATATTTTAAGTTTTAGATAAGGCCAAATTACAAATTGTAGCAGGGGCAAATTATAATTAGTTATATAATGGGATAAGTTATTCTACCTACCTTCTTTTCCTGCCTACCATTCTAAAAGACTATTAAATCAGAATCTTAACTAACATTTATTTTTCTCTCTTCTCTTTAGATTCTAATCTAACAGTGTTGAAGAGTGGTAGGCAAAGGTAGGCAAAAAAAAAGTATGTAGAATAACCTATCCCTTACATAATTATATATAATAAATATAATTTGTTAAAATTTAGCCCAGACCGAGGCCACACCCAGGTTGTATGTGGCTCCGCCACTGTGAGGAATAACATTAAGTGGGCTGATGCACAATAATTAAATCAAACCACTTATATCATACTCACTTAATCCATTTTTAACTAATGTGTAACTACTCACTCACTCTTGGATTTCCTAACACTGGGAAGACTAAGTCATATAGTTTTGTTAGATTATTTATTTGTCAGTAGCACCAGCATATAATTTAGAGAAAACAAAGGATGTATAATCTTTTATTTTATTTTTTTAAATCTCAAAGGGTACAATGAACTAAATGAAGCTACCCTCCTTTGACTTCTCCAAATTTGAGCTAGTTTGGTGATGTTGCAACCTAGTGAAAGCCCAATGGGGGTGAATCCACCTGATTTTCACTTCAGGTTTATGGTTTTCCAAGTTGAGAATGAGATAGCATAAATATCAGTTTGTAGTGTTGGGTTGTTTTCAGTGTAGGCTGGATGTGGAGATCAAAAGAGTGGATGTCAGCATAGTGTGTGGAGGGAATGGTGAAGGGTGAAAGTGAGAAACTGAGAATGTCTTTGTTTTGTGGTTGTGCATGTGCATGTCACATTCTTATCG